TTTTTTTTGCATTTTTTTTTCCTCTTAGACACTGTATAAAAGGTAATATAAGGAATGTGTTTGTATTGCAAGAAAGATTTACCATCTGCAACTTCCAGGGTGGCGGTGCAGATGGACTGGCCAGCCTTGTTGGTAGCAATGCACGTATAAGCTCCACTGAACTTCTTTTTAACATCCAACAGGATTAGACTGTGATGCATATTGGAACTGGCAAGCTTATACCCAGGAGTGTCTGGTTTGATCCACAGGATGTCTTCTCGAGACTCTTCTTTCAGCCAAGTAATAGTTGGTGGTGGATGTCCTGAAGGAAAATCAACACAGTTAGCCTTAATTTTCCTAATGGCGTTCCTTCTTTACAATTACGAGCTGTGCTGTCAATAAATGCTATTTTGATCTGTTTCCTGATACTTTTCCAACAATAACAGGCGTAATATATAATAAAGGAACATAAATCTTTCTACAGTACCTTCGTAAGGCCATAACACTTTTTTTGGAAAATTTATGGGTTTTATCCTACAGGAAAATGGGAGTAGAGATGAGTAAAATGCTTTTCTGTAAAGCACTTAAAGTCTCTTACAAAGCTGGGAGTAGAGTTCCAGATGTTAGACACAGAAGATGAAATTACAATGACTTGGGTGAAAGAGAGTCTAGAATGTGTCATGAAGTTATGCAATTTAAGCATTATGCAGAGAGACAAAGCATTTATCCACTTACCTTCAACTTTCACTGACAATGTGATGCTTGCACCTTTTTTCACCTTTTTATTAGTAAATCTTTCTAGGAACCTTGGTGGTATCAGCTGCTCGTGCTCTGAAAATGATATTATTGATGAAATATGGTGACATGTTCTTACGTGAGTTTAAACTAATGAAAAATTCATTGGGCTTCTGGTATCACCTGCTACGGCTTCACTCACCCGTTTCTGATGGCTCTTCTTTCTCATCAGGATCTGTAACACAAGGAGAAAAAAAATAAAATGACAAATACCTTTCTGCCCATGGGTTGAAGGAAGAAAAGAAACAGTGACTCCAAGGGATTACTCCTTGGAGGAGATATTGCATAGAAATGTTTTATAAGAGGCCCTCAGTTTTAATAAATTGAGCAATTAATGAGGTTAGGCAGGAATGAAGTGTAGATTTATCAGAAAACAATGGCATGTCTCATCTTCGGGAAACACAGTAAATTTATTGATGAACCAAAATTAAAGCAAGTCATCTTTTACCTACAGACTTGATTTAGCTTGGGTAGGCTTTCTTGAGAAAAATAACTCTATAAAATAACTGTATAAAATGGGAAAAAAAAAGCCACCAGAGTAGAAACAAGCAGCTGCCAAAAATAGTCCAATACCCACCTTTGACTACCAGCCGGGCAGACGAATACGCAGAACCAGCAGAGTTGATGACAAATGTGGAATACTGGCCGGCATCTGCCTTAGTGACGTCACGAATTTCCAGTGAGTGGAATTCCCGTTTATCAGTCTTCAGGATGCGATCCGAGGCCTTTAACGGTTGTCCATTTTTGAACCAATAGAGCCGAGGCTGTGGGTACCCTGCAAGGAGCAGTTACAGACACAGAGAACAGAATGAATTGGCAACACTGATCCGGGAGCATCTCCTTCTGAGCAGGAGCAAGGGAATCTCTCAGCTCTGCCCAGGGCTGCTGTTTCAAGGATTTACCCAATTAGGAATGGCTGCAAATTGGTGAAATTCTATTTATCTGTTCACGTTTCTTGTCTCTTCAGTTTTCAGCACTTCCCATACTGTTTGCATTTTGGAAATGTAACGCTTGAGTCTGATTTGCGATGAACACAAAGAGAAAAGTTGAAGCCAGAATGTTTCTTACCAATTTTGTAGGTAGAAAATAGAAGAATCTCTATTTGTTCCTACCACATTTAACATCAGGAGGACGTTTTTTTGCAGTTTTGAGGTTGCAGCAACCAACTCCCTTCATAGAGTAAGGCAAGGTCAGAACCGATTCATTTATTAAACAGAATAAAGGACCCTCTCGCTATCTTTTTTTATTCCTTATTGCTCCTCCATAACTCATGTGCTCAGAGAGTTACAGGACTACAGCCTGCAATAGTGCCTGGAGACATGGGCAGAGAATGAGACACTTAATCTGTCCAAGTCTGCTACAAATGTCAATGTTCATCAGCATCAACACATTCTTCTAGCTGGCTTGTGCAAAACGAGGTGCAAGATGCAAAGACTGGAGGCATAGTAGCAGAAGAACGTGTTGGAAAACCTTGTCCTGCACTTCAACCTGACGGCAGACCTGGGAGGACTGACAGTGCTGTGGGCTCCCCTCACCTTTCACCTTCAGGTGGAATTTAGCCAGTGATGCTCCTGGTGCCACGTGAATATCGTGAAGCTCATCGAAGATCTGAGGCAATTGTCCCTCCTCAGAGGTAGATTCCTCCTGTTCTCGGCTAAGAAGCAATAAGAATAAGGTCAGCAAGCCAGAAAAAAAGTTAGGAATCAGAATCACCTGTTTCAGGTTCATTCAGTCTGTGGGTTTTGTCACCATGATTCAGCACCACATGGCATTAAAATTAATGGTGTGATAGTGTGAAGAAATAGCCAGGCTAGCCTGAAGGCAGCCAGAGCAGGTTTGCACAAGATGAATGTCTAGATGCTGCAGTTATTGCACCTCAGCTGCTCTGGTTGTTCCTTTATGACATTAAATTGGTCCTGCTAGATACAGCAAAACCGGGCTTGACATAAATATCCATATTGATCTTCTCAAGACAGAGGCTGGAAAGAGCTATAATTTAATGTTTTTACCTTGAAATATATTCTTTGGCACTGTAGTAAGAAGATGTCTCTGTCGCATCTGCTGCTGTCTCGTAGTCCGTGCTGGTCACTGTTTAATGGTAAAGGAAATGTTTTCTATAATCTGAGCTTTGAAGTTATTTTTCTTGTAGTTTCCCTACTAATCTGAGTGACTGGCAGGTTGGTTTCACACTGCTACTGCAGCAGGATCCTACACGTCCCTGGATTATGGAAAACACCACTGTTCATCTTAAAAGCTTTTCTCTGAGTCTTGACCTAGAGTTGGCAAAGCCAATCAAACCCAAGAGGTTTGCAAGTGAAATTTTTTGCAGACAACGCATATGCTGTGTTTTTTTTTTTTTTAAAATGAAAATGGTTTAAATTTTGAAAAGAAATTATTTATCCATCTCTCAGCGGGATCCCTTCCCTCAGTTTTTCTACAGTGATTTTGAGACTTACAGTCCACGCGAAGCTCAGCCTTGGTTGAAGCAACTCCCATGTTGTTTTCAGCAAGGCAACGGTAAACGCCCATGTCAGTGGGGACCACCGCAGTGATGATCAGCTGATGGCAACCTTCCTGGTCCTCATTGATCATGTAGTGATCATTTTCTTCAATAGCTTTCCCATCCTTGAACCAGCGAACCGTGGGGAGTGGTTTGCCAACGACAATGCAGTCAAAGCTGACTGGGTATCCATCCTGCACCTCTTGGTTTTGGAGCTCAGTCATGAACATGGGAGCTGAAGTCAGGGTAGTGAGAAGAGAAGAAAGGAAAAACTTGGTTGTGTTAAACATATATTTTAAGAGCATTGCTGCCCAGCGCCTGAAGAATTCTGCTTTCTAGGGTTTTATTTTTAATTGCTGAGTGATGTCTTTTCTCTATGAAAACAGTCAAGAAGAAATTCTCTGACAAACGCTATGAAAATATGCCATAACACTGTAAGCACTGCAATATCACAGATGCAAACTGTCCACTGCCTCTGTTCCTCTCCTTGCTGAAATGTCTTTTGTCCCTCAGGACTGTTCTGAAAACCATTTCATTTATTTAAGTATAATAATCATAGCTTTTATGGCCATATTATTGTAGTAATACTGTAGTATTTGTGAAAAGCAGCTTTGTAAGTAAGTCAATAATTTGCAAATCCCTCCTTCATCATTGACCTCCTTCCTTTCCCTCAAAATGGAAAAGAATAACAAATTAATCAGTTTTGGAAAAAGTGCTACATTTTCAGAAAAAATATCTGCACCGAATGAAAAACAATGGCTTTTTGGAAGGTATTCATGAGCGAAAATGTAATATTCTGACCTGCTCCAGCTGTTTTTTCCAAAAAAGAGACAGATTTCCTTCACCTACCAGTATCAGAAGTCAGCAAAGGTGGTGGAGGTCTCACTAATGACGGCGCAAACTTCCCGTGTGCAGGTGGTGTTGCTTTGCCAATCCGCAATTCAATTTTTTTAGGACCTTGTTCCAAAATGTCAATCTCCACAGGAATTCCCAGAGCACCAAACATCTCCCTGAATCGGGTAGCAGCACTTTTTGCCTCAGACAAGACTTCGAACTTGATATAGATGTACTGGTCGTCCTCACGATACGTCTGATGGTCGACCACCTCTATGTCCCCTTCATCCGCACTGACAAAGAGCTCTTCCTCCACATCGGATATCTCTGTTGAGATCTTGGCCCTGAAGAGTCTATGAAGTCTCCTTCCTGCTTTACGGAAAGCATCATCCAGCTCACTGCCAGACGAGCTCTCTGTCTCGCTGTCAGTGCTTTGCTTAACTCGCTTCTCCTTAAGAAGGACTTGAGGCTCCTGGGTGCCAATAACCACCTTAGCACTGTGTGAAACCTTGCCAAATTTATTGGATGCCTCACAGGTATATTTACCAGCATCTTTCCTGTCGAGGCCAGTGATAATCAAAGAGCAGGTCCCATCACTGTAATTGTCTATGTGATAGTAGCGACCATCTGAAAGCTCTTGCCCATCTTTCAGCCAACGGACTTTCATATCAGTTTTGCTGTGGGCCACGCACTCAAGCTGGAGAGTGCTTCCAGGTTCACCAGAGAAGTCTTTGAACGTCTCAGAAAACACTGGGCACTCTTGCTGCTTGATCTCTTTCCTGACTTTATAGCCTTTGAAAGCAGCTTGGATCTTCACAGCAGCCTTGTTCATGGAAGGATCATCTAAATCTGGCATTTCTGGTTCAGCTGGCTTAGCAGCTGGGGCAGCCACAACAGTCTCCACACTGGATTTCTCCCACTGTTTCCATAATTTGCCCGTGGAGATGGATTGAACCTTGCTAGTAACACTGACACTTTTCTTCCCAGCTTTCTTGAGGTAGTTCACCAGTGAAGGAGTCCCAGCTCTGGACTCATCATCTGAGCTTGTGAAAGAGAAATCTGCTTCTCCTGTCCTAGCTAGCTCATCGCACGTCGAGTACTCCTCTGAGTAATAGTGAGACATCTCCGCTTCCTCCCTCCTCAACTTCTGAAGCTTCTCGTCCTCTTCAGGCACCTCGCTGATGGAATCCAAGGTGGGCTCCCGGCTCATCCGGCGTTTCTTGGCCAGGGCTTCCCACAGGAGGTGAAGGTCTCCCTCCTGAGCAGCCTCAGGGGGCAAGCTGGGCTGGACATGGCCATCCACGAGCTCTTCTGGTTGGCTTGCAGGGGGTGCTTCCCTGGCGACTTCCTTTAGCATTGTCACTGTGGGAACTGAGGACAATTTAAATTGATAAGACATTAAAAGTCGGTGAGAAAAACCTCTGAGAAAGCACATGGAAATGTTATTCCAAAGCCAGGGAGAAGACTGTCACTGGTACTTAATTAAGCATTTGGATGTGGTCCTAAGCAACTTGTTCCAGGTGACCCTGCTTTGAGCGGGGGAGTGGACTACACTATTTCCAGAAGTCTTCTCCAACCTCACAGAACATGGCTAAACAACTTTATTATCATTTACTTCCTCACAAATTTTAACCCAATAAATAAATTTCTGCCCCTTTTGAATGTTGCAGTCAATGACTACTGGTTAAGACTGACAGTGGAGCCTGGAAAGCTACTCAAGACTCATTTTACATCAAGACAGAGCTTCACTGACTGCCTTGAACAGATCTCCAGTGCTTACAATGGCAGCTGAGGCTCCCACCTCGTATGGAGCTGTCTGTCTGTAGATACTTTGGTTCAGATGTGTCTAAGTCTGAAGGTTGTGACTCAACCTCTGGGACACACTGACTTGCCTCTGCATAGTGCCCAGTGCCATCTGAGATGGTGGTCTGGGACACCCACATTTGTCTCTTGGATAAAACACGGGACCTATGAGTGCTCTGTGTCCCTCTGGAGAAGGAAATAGAGGCTGGAGGGGAACATCCTCAAGTGCCTCAGTGGCACTAGATGCCTGATACCATGAAGAACATATGAAAAAGTCTTCACTTTCTGCAGTGGTAGTTGAAGGCCAAGGGGGGTACCTGAAGGAATCTCAAGAGGCACCAGAAACCCTTGCAGAGACAACTGTGTCACACCTGAAATATTTGACTCAGGAAAATCTTACCTGAGAAGCTCAAAGCTGTTAGGGATTCAGAAACTGGGCACATAGCGATTCTTTGTGGATTTCAGACACATCTTGTAAAAGAAAATGAAATCCAGCCCAAGCTATGGAGCTGCCCCTAGATGCCCACAAGCTGAACTAATTTAACATCACAGGAATGCACTCTCTGTACCTTCAAGACACAAGCTGGCAACAGATTTGACTTCAGGAGAAACCATGCAAGTGTATGTGTCCTGATCTTCAGGTTTAAATGCATGAATAATGAGTATCTGTTTTTTCCCATCAGAGAGGATCTCATATCTCCCTCCAGCTTGTATTTAATTGAACCATGTCACTCTGTCTTCGGTTTCACTGGATAATTCACACTCCAAGCGAGCCACCTCCCCTTCTGAGACTGATCCTCCCACCAAAGGATGGGTGACTGTAACTGTAGGCTCTGTAATTGCAAAAAAAAATAGAATTAACACAAAGAATATATCATAACCTGGCTTTAAGGCCCTTGAGGTCACTCTAAAATATCCAAGCATCTCATCCTTCATTTATAGATTCTTTAGCTGTTGTACACAATCAAAGAGAAAGAGAAAAAAACAACATCCAAAGTTTGCACTTCCAATGATAGTATCAAAATAACTGTACAAGCTCTCCCAGCAATTAAACGAGCTCCATTTAAATATATTCATGCACAAGTGGTTGCATTTTTCACATTCCTGTGTTTATTTGCTGGTCTTCATTTACCCATCACCAGTAATCAAGCAGTCCTACAGCTTCTAGAAGATCTGAATATTTAGAGCTGAGGCAATTCTGAAGTGAGGCAAGAAACAAATAATAAAAAGAATAAAAAAGGAATTATTAAAAGCAGCGTTCATCACAATCTTGAAAGTTTAAAAAAAAAGTATGTACATATTTATACTAGTTTAGGAAGAATAAAAATTCTTAAAAAAAAACCCACATAAAGAATTTAAAAATAAAAATATTCTTTCTTCTTTGCTTTGGAAAGACACTTTCCAGGGACAGGCTGTTTGTACAGCAGCAATACTCAAAATGAAGTCAAGACAAATACATTAAACGTGAAGCTGTTGACTGGGACAGTTGATCTCCCAGGAGCAGGATGCTCCTGAGCATGATCTGCCCCTTGGCACATTTCACCGGGGTGAGAAGGCTGCTGCCCAAAACGCCTTGGGTTTGTTGGAGACTAAGTCAGCATATGCAGAATTATCAGGGTCCACCTGACACCCTAAAAATTGTTATGTCATTAAAAAGCCGTATTATTATTGCTATTGTTGTTGTTATTATCATCATCATCATCATCACTTGTAATAATTTGTTGGGCACTCAGCTATCACAGAAAGAGTTGCAAGAAAAGAAAGACTGAGGGAATGGCTCCCCATCCCACTGTAGCTTCCAAAGTTTCACCAACAGACAGCATAAAAACTGTGTCCTCCAGCATTTCTTTGCAGAGGTTATTGAAAAATATGCAAAAGATACAAGAGAGAAAGATGGGTGAAGAAGACAACACTGTCCACCCACTGCACTGGTGCCAGGCTCCGGGTTACCCCAAATGCATGCCCCCTTTGACTCATTCCACCTAACTCCACCAGAAAAGAAACTTGTGGTGACCAGACCACACATGGGTGCAGTGCAGGCTGCAAGACAGCTTGAGGCAGTTCGGAGAAAGTAAATGTTGCGCACTAACAACACTGCAGGTTTTGCCCATGGCAGCCCAGAACAATTTCCCCAGGCTCTTTCTCCTCTGTTGTGTTGGCAGCAAAGCACTGAAAGACGTTGCAGAGTTGAACTCTTCCAGGAGATGCCTGGAACAGGTGAAGCGGGCATGCCATGCGAAACACAAGGTCTACAGGAGCTTGCAGTCCTCCACGGGGGCATTTCTCCATTCTCACCTATCCGCACCATCTGAGGGAAGTGCACCGGCTCGCTGGCCCCGACTTTGTTTATAGCCGAGACGCGGAATCTGTAGGTTTCACCCGGGGTGAGATTGTCCACCATAAACTCCGTGGTTTGAATAATGCCCTTGCTGCAGGACTGCCAGCCAATACCTGGGATTTTCCTCTCCACGTTGTAGCCTAGGATGTCAGAACCGCCGTCGCTCAACGGCTTGTACCAAGACAGAGTTACAGAGTGGCTGTCCTTACTTAAAACTTCTGGTTCTTCTGGTGGATCGGGGTGGGCTGAAGGCACAACAGAGGTCCCGTGATATACGACATGAGCAATAATGCTTTATACTAAAACAACCAATGTCACATATTGTGATTTTCTTCCTGCTGCTTTGTCACACCTAGCTCAAAATAAATACGACCCTACGCCGTCCGTATAATCAAAGAACTCAACTAAAACTGAAGCATATTTTGGCTTTGCTCATATTTATTTCAGGTCTGGCCTTCAGGGAAATCAAGTTATTGTTGAACTCAGAGCAACTCTAGTAATTTAATAGCAAGTCACCCAATTCCTATGTGATTGCTATGTATGTCGTGGCATCAGGCGATAATGAATAAATACATAATGGGAATGGTCTGATGTCCCACCAAATTGGCTACTGATGATCATACTCAGTACAACGGAAGATTTTCCTCACCTAATTTACACTTCAGCTTGGAAGACAGAAGTAATTCTTTCAGTCTTCAAGTTCAAGGCATTTACCAAGTAAAAGACCTGCTACAATGTGCCAGTCCAACAAATTAAAGGCAAATAAGGTCAATAGCCAGTTCTTTAATTCCAGACACCAAAAAAAATCTTCCTTTTCACACAACATAAAAGCGTCTTTTCTCTATTTTCAGCCAAATTTCATATAGAAAGCCTGTCAATGGGACGAGTTTTGAGGATAGTATTTTGCAGTTCCTAAAATACAGGTGCCCGAAATAATATTGATTTAAATCCATTTTTTTTGTGTGTGTGGAAATGACTGAGATATATCAGAGATCTTTCAAGTCTCGGAAATCACTGAACAGACAGATTCCCCGTTATGCTTTAAAGGAGGGGTGGTCAATCAGAGGCTCCTGAACATCTCAAGTACACTGTGCAACTAGAACACGTTGCAATCCTCTCGTAACCATTACTGGGGTTGTGCTGGTGTGACCATTGCTGGGTCACCCGTCTGTCCCACTGTGGGAAGGAGCCAGACCTTGAGTTCTGGAACAGACATTGACAAGTCATTGGTCTAACCCACCCCACAAGGGAATTGGGAAACTATCATCTTTTCTAATTGTGAAGTACTTCTAGAGCTATTAACTCTTGCATCTCTGAAGTACACGATGTGTGTTTTATGGGTGTCACCCACACGAAGATGTTAATACACAACTCATTAATCTGGAAAACTGGTTGCCCTCCACTTGAGTAGATGAGCAGATGTCAAAGGGTCCTCTTCTGTCCTGCCTAATTTTTCTACTTGAATTCTAGTTCAGCTGCCCACTGTGTCCCCATGTTTGTTGAGAGTGATGTTGAACTCTGAGTAATTTGATTTCCAATAGATTCCATGTTACATTTTACAAATGACTGTGGCTAAAGAAAGCTGGTGAACATCTCTACCATTGCTAGCCTGATATGATTTTCTTCTGATGAGCTGAACTGATTCTGGCCAAAGAACAAGTTGCCCAGCAGCATCTTCTCAAACTAAGAACGCTAGCTTTGGACATACTAGGCAAAGAGAAAAGAATCAGTGTAAAGATTAGGGAAGTCAATGTTGTAGCTCAGTACCAAAGTCTGAGATTTCAAGTGTCACTGGGCTAGAATGATGGATACTTACCTATCACAGATAGCTTGGCTGATGCAATTGCTTCCCTAGAAGCAAAGGTCACCTCTCCAGAATGATAGGGTTGAGCTTTCTTCAGAATAAGTTTATATTTGTTTCCATCTGCTTGGACTTCCCAGTCCTCACCCGACTGAATCTCTACGTCATTACTATACCACGTGACTTCATTAACTGGCACAGCTTCACTTAGAACACAGCTGAACGTAGCTTTGTGCCCTGGAGAGACTTCCACATCTGTGAGAGGCTGCAAGATTTGTAGGCGCCATCCTACGGATAAAAACAGCTAATCAACCCCCTCAGTTACAGAAATGAATACAGATAAAATGATTTTGTGATCATTTATGTTGAAGCTCTGGATAGTCAGACCTCAGAGGTCAAGGAGGTCATTAAAAGGGAGGTTATGTGCATCAGTAGAACAGAAGGTATCACGGCAGACTGAAACTTTCTAGAACTTTCAGGAGGAGAAACCAACGTAGCAACAATACTTGTCTTTCGCAAGAAGCAGAAATCCGCAATTGAAATACCATGCTATGACTGAGGGTGGCTGTTAAACTTTCAGGAGGAAAAACCGACCTAGCAACAATATTTGTCTTTCCCAAGTAGCAGAAATCCCCAATGGAAATACCATGCTATGACTGAGGGTGGCTGTTCTTGTACTCTGTAAGGGATTCTGAACCCTGCAGGCGTCTCCAGTGATAATGTGAAATACAAGGATATAAAGATAAAACTAAGAGAACTCTCATTTCTAGAGCCTTCAAGTGCTTATAAGCACAACTCAACTCATCAGAATAATGCCAACTGTAAGGCAGTCACTTGCTGCTAACTCATTGCCAACCAATGCTGCTTAGATCCACGTCACGCGTATGGAACAAGGGAAAAAAGGAAATTGCAAAACATCATCTATTTCTTACATAAGTAGAAGAAGGTTTAGGTAAGAAGAAAGTAACATATGCCCCTTTGCCTCTCTGCTACTTGTCAGATTTTCCTGGTTCACGTGTCTTTTTCAAACAGAAATTTAGGGCCCCCCACGCACAAGAGCTCGAATTACCTTTCACCGTAAGGAAGGCTGAGGTCACCGCGTCGCTGCACATAAAAGTCACCCTGCAGCTGTCCTGGGGAGTTAGGTTCTTCAGCAGCAGCAGATGCCTGCGCCCATTTTCGAAGTAAACCATCTCAGTGTTTTCTGTGGTTTTGGCAGGCTCGTCGTCAATCAGCCAGTTGTAATTGTAGCACTCGGGCTTGGAAAGGTAACATTCAAATAGGGCTTCCCCTCCTTCCACAGCTTCCACATTTTCCAAGCCCTGGACGATGCTGTTCTTGGCTAGCAAAGGAGAACAGCGAGCAGTATTAATTGTTTGGCCACGCACATCTGAATTTTAACAAGCCTTGGAGCACTGGATGATTCCCACTGCTGGAAAGCTAATGGAAAACTTGTGGATGGAAACTGTGTTTGTAGGCTTAGTTTTTAATTTCAACCACACTCTGACAAAAGACTATATTGGAAAACATTTTGTCTAGTGATAAAAATAACAATAAACCTCTAGGACTTCTAGCATTTCATCTAGACTTTCTCCAGAAACCTGACCTCTCTTTTTACAAATAACGAAAAGAAAATGTTGATGTTCACGAGTCAGGACAATAGTTGATAAGAAGATAAAAGTATGATCAAAATTCCTTCTGTCCCACAGCAGGAAACATTTCCCACAGATCTCCCAGGCAGTGCAATGATCATAGTAACAGGGGAGATGTGAATCCACTGAGAGCTCATGATAAAACTCTTACTAACTTCCATGCAAAGCAAATGTGAGAAAATATAACAGCTGGCAAAGCTATAATGACCGTCACCAGAGGTAACAGCACATTTGCAAGTCTGCCTCTAGGAAACATGCGAAAAATTTAAATCCACATTAACAGCATTTTGAATAGTGAATTTCTCAATTATTACAAAAGCTCTGTAATAATTTCTCATGCGTGTGTGGTGAATTGTGTGGTCAGAAATGTGCAGGGGTCTATACATTCCATTTGCTCATGGAGTCATGCATCAGTCAACCTTGGTACATAAGCAATCAGCCCGATGCAAAAGTCAGCGTGGGCTGGTGCTTGTGAATATAATTCATGTTAGACCAGATATGTGGACAATTTACATGCACAACAGTGGGAACACACACCTGTGTAAATATGGTTTACACAAATACCATACAATGGTCAGCATGATCTAGAATATAATCCCAAAGCCCTGACATTTCTGTCTAGACCTTTATAACCATTATCTGGAACTGTTCTTGGTGGAGGGGAGAAGAAAAAGTGCTGCAAATCTATTTAATAGCAAAAAAAATCACCTCAAAATAGGAGTTGCTAAAAAAAAAATCTGTATTTTATAGCATTTGTATCTATGGAAAACAATGAGGGGCTTATAAATGTTTGGGAAATGTATAATTTTATTAGAACAAACCGAAGATGTTTATTTTTACACTTCTGGAACACTGGTTTCCCTAACTATAAGAAGCAGACAGCTGCAAATCCTATCTCCTCTGGGATGCTTTTAGATTATGTTCATTAACATCTTTTTAAATCCCTAAAATGGAAAGTGCTTATCAATTTAGAAGAACATTGTAATAAATAATACCTTGCTCCTCTGTATGAGCCACTCTTGTTAAGCAAGAAGGCATAACTGCTTAACAAACCACAAATATACAGAAATCAAATCAGAACCCCTGCCTTTGCTGATCACACTAATTCACTTGCTGATCCAAAACAATAATTTCATATACAAAAAAAAGAAGAAACTTCACTATAAAAATCCTAAGCCTACTGTCAATATTTTTATATGCTGTTTCTGAGGGCCCTCACAAAAGCTTATGCCAAAGTGAGAAGGTAATTCCTGAGTGATCAGTATTGAAATAAGCCAAATGTCAAGCTACCTTAGCTTGGCTGAAAATAAAATGAAATTCCACACTATCCAACAGCTACAGGTCTTAAGGCACACTGTGTGTAAAAAGCACTCTGCAACAGCAAAAAGTACTCTTATTATTCCTTCAGACCAACATTACATCTGTGATTTTACAGTAATGCGCCGGGACACATCCCATGGCACTAATATTCCAATTTGTTGTAGAAGAGGGATGATGTGTAAGCGGTGTAATAAGCAAGCGTTAATTAGAACTAAGCTCCAGCGAAATGCTACAGTTTCGTATTCAATTCCCATTAACTCCTGACTCTTTTAGTCATTGTTATTAGCGCTGGAGTGAACCAAAGAGCTGATGTGTCACTTATTGTGAGGTGCTGCCATGGTTTTTCCACCTCTTTTATCTGGAACCCATGATAGTCTTCCTCTTTGGCTGGAAGACCTCACCTTGAACATCAAGTGCAGCCATCACTTTAATGCCTTCAGCTTCACAAGAATAGATGCCCGTGTCTTCTGGGACCGTAGGTTTAATTTTTAACATGCTTACATTCCAGTCCTGATCGATAATCACTCGCTGCCCATCTGCATGTATTTCCTGATCATTTTTCTTCCATATGGCGTGTACTGGCCTAGAATACTGGCATATGAACTCTGCTGTGCCATCTTCATCAACAGTTATATCCTGCATGGGACTGACCACTTCAATGGTTGGATCTGTTAACCAACACGGCAGGAAGGACATGCATTAGTGCATCCTCATGGAAATTGCAACTTGGAGATATTTATTTTTTGACAAGCACAGAGCCTGTGGGGAGCAAGCAGAGTGACCATGCAAGCGGGAAGCTGACCGAGCACATCAGGGATTAGCAATTCAGTCTGTGCTTGTGCCAGCATCAAGCAGGATTGAAGCAAAATCAGCGCATTAGAATGTAACTATCACACTGGAAAACAGGCCACCAGCAATTAAGGCTCATGCTTTAACAGTCCTGAATATGAGCTTCTGTGCAACACATCTACTCGTATTGCCTCCAGGTTTCCTCCCAGCGTTGCTGAGACTCCCCTAGACAAGGAAGCACTGGATGTGAAACACTTTAGCTTCCCAAAATGTGGCAGGAGTGTGGGTCTGAGATGGAAGAGCTCAATGGATGGGCTGCCATGAGCGGTTCCCTGTAACACTTAACCTCACACAGCAATAGGGAAATGCCACAAACTCTGCTGGAGGCTCCTTGTATGAGCAAACTGCAACCATTCATTGGAAAGAAGGGGAATACTCAAATGCAAATACTCCCTGTTCTGTCGTGGTGGTAGCTCTAGGTCAAGAGTCATTGGCAACACAAGGAGCAAAGCCTGAGGATAACTGTAACTAAAAAAAGCACTTCACAGGAGACAGGAACTTGTTTTTATTAACCATGTATTCCTCCGCAGAATAGACATTGGGGAAAAAAAATACGGTTTCCTTTACAGTAGCCGATGTGGAGATGCAGCATGAACCATTGCAATTTCAAATTGAGAGCCCGTAAGATACTGGGAGCAGCTGGATACACAGCTCCTCTGAAGGAGGCAAGATCCATGAGATTCCTTTTAACTATCTGGTCTTTCTTTTAAAATATTAGTTTGGCTTCTCAAGAGGCAGCTGTAGAAAACAGTAGATATATCTAACCTCAAAATATTGTGAGCTTCCAAAGCAGCCAAAGAGTCCCTCTTGAGACAAAAAATTGGACCACTCACATACAACTGCAACGTATATGTTGAAAAGAAAAATCTCAATGGGATCTGAAAATGGAAGTCTCTTAGCAAAATCCATCTCAGCACAATTATGTCAACTCCTCCAAAAAATGGATATGGCTTCAAGATGATGTAAAAATATGGTAATCAGAGAAAGATGACGTACATTCTATCTTTTAAAAAATTTTTCTGATCACAAGCCAACTAGAATAAACTACACAATCTCTGTCTTGAATTCTCCTCTTGAAACTACTGCATCAGGTTGAGGATTTGAGGTGATACCGGCAGACTTGGGAAATAGATAGTTTTGCAAATGTCTTTTGGAAAGCCGTTGCAAGGCTTGATCCTGCTCCGTGTGTCTGCACATGTGTTTATGGAAAGGAGGCACCAATGGCAGAGCATGGAGAAGTTTCGGTTACACCAGGACTGAAGAAGCAAGAAGGTGTCTGTGCAGATGACAAAGATGCAGACGTGCTCCTTGCATCAAATGTCACCTGTGGTCCTGGAGAAGGAAGGTGTCCTGGTTCCACTGCCCTATGGCCACTGTTAGCCTGAGACCTTGCTGGCCCCTTGCAGAACGGCAGAAAGCTGCTTGGGATTTAGGAGCCAATGTGTCCCCTGAGGCCTGTAATTCTCACCTTGCACAAGAGAAGAAGAAGAAGGCGGCAGCTCCTTCAACCTTTTCCATTTCCCTCCTGCCCCTATGAGAAGATGCTGTCGTGCTGGGTCACTGTAGGAATGTAGTTGTAGGGTAATGATATTGTGAAGGCCCAACAAGAAAAGCTGTCGTGAGATCTCACTTACAGAATATAACCAGTTACAAGCATGCCTTGAAATAGGAGAATGGGCTGCATGGAGCAGTGAGAAAGACAGCTCGTTCCTTGGTGAAGAGCAGGTCATGGATAGCTAGACAAACTGAAACACACCTAGTTCAAAGACAGGTCTATTTTTAAATTTCTGGACAAAATCAAGTGTATGACATTGGCTGTTAATACAGGCACAGCTAGAAATTAAGTAGTGGGTTTTGCTTTCTTATTCAATCAGGTGTTACTGAGAGCAGTGTGACTGGGGCATTTTTTAAAAACCTTCCTAATCCTAACCCAATTATAGTCATATAAGACTGTGATTCAGGTTCACATTAAAGAAATTTTGCCTTAATGTAAGCACAAACTATCCATATACATATGTGTACAAGCATGAGCTGTGGAGTCAGACTAGATGATTTCCAGAAGTCCCTTACAACGTCAGTGATGCTGTAATTCTGTGAAATGAAAGCTTCTCATGAACTCTTTATTAGAATACCTAATGATGCATTTATTTTTATTTTTAATTTATGTTTTAGGAGTCCTCTGCCTAGAGAGCTCAGAACCAGGTTCTGTCTCTGAAAATGTGAAACCGAAAAATTGATACAAATGGACATGGCATTTGTGGAGTTTGCACACTGTGTTGCTGCTGCATCATTCTGATCTTAGGAAGAAATGATCTGGCATTTTATCTTTGCAGAGTTAAAGTTTCTGAATGTACAAGGGACACACTGCAGAAGGAGACATCAACTGTTGACTACAATTCCATATGCTGGATCATTGCTGTTATGGTAGACAGTTGTAGCATGGGGGTAGCATTTAGTAAAGAACTCTTAATATCTCCATACATATAAATCCCTTTTCCAAGCAAGGAATAAGTGTCACTTTTGTCTGAAAAATAACAACTTTTCCCAATAGCTACAAAAAACTGAATATGAAGGACCTTTCACATCAGGTGAAACAGCAACCTCGACCTTGCAACCCTTTCTTACCCGAAGTCTGGAGCTCAGTGTTATTTGCGGCGTGTGGCTACCCTTACCAAATAAGAAAAATACTTATTCAACAGACCAGAAAGCTTTGCTAGAGCACTGACGATCATTACTCTTCCGGCAGTCAACAAAGGAGGCGTGTTTTGTCACTGTGTTAGCCCAATATCACGTACCCTTTGATTTCCAGAAAGAGCTCTGGAGCCATCGATATAACAGCTTGCCTTGGGAACATACTGAGCTCAGCACTGGCAGCCTAGCTATGGAACAGCACAGTGGTAATTTTTTTATTTCCCAGCTGCATAATATTTTGTAATATTAAAAAACAGTTGAAGGAGGGACAAAAAAATGTCAGGCACTACCACAGTGGTTTGTGTTCAGTTCTACCTAGACATCAGGTGAAACAGAAACCTCGACCTTGCAACCCTTTCTTACCCGAACCACTCAAAAAAATCAGTGTGGTTGTACCTATAAGGCTTCTGACGTGGATCTGGGTGACTTGCAGAAGTGGAGGGTTGCAGGAGATAGAAGAACTGAAAGGATTTAGTAAGGGTAGCCAGGAAGGCAGAAGCACGAGCGCACTGAGCAAGTCCAGAGGTGGGCACGTGTGTCTTTCTAACAATGAAATACCTTTGACTAATAATTTAGCTGAAGATATAAGAGACCCAGCTCTGAAGGTGACAGTGCCCGAGTCGTGGCACGCCACGTCATTTAAGGTTAAAGTGTGGATCATCCCGTTCTGCTCAGAGATTTCAGTCACAAAGTTGTTGTGAAGGGGAGATCCATCGAGCCACCACTGCACGTTCTTCACGCCTGGGTGCGAGAGCTCGCAGGTGAACGTAGCTGACTCGCCCACAAAGACATCTGTGTTCTTTAAACCAGAAACTATGACCGCTGCTTCTTCTGTATAACAGAGCAAGAGAAGGTGCCAAAGGAAAACAAAAGCATAAACATATACATGTCGCTTTCTTCAGAACTATCCCAAGCAACAGTGCAAGCTGTCCAGGAGAGTAAATCTTGTAATGCTGTTCCAGGAGGGGGGGAAAAATAAAAGAGCTTGAATTGTTTTTAAGAGATTTGTAAGGAAACTGCTCCATAACCAGGTCATGACTGGCTCTCCTGTGGTTGCAAACATCTGCACTGACATTGTATGAGGTGGGAGGCAGAGGCAGCTTAAGGTTTAAATGTTTAATAAAAGAGTAATAAGAATAGCAGCAGATAGAAGCTGTAATCGGTAATAACAAGAATTTCAGTATTTTTTACAGCCGCTGCTGCCAGCAAATAGTTTTTCAGCAGTACTACCATCCGCAGTATGGTCAGTACTTTGAACTATCTTAATTTACAAACATTGGTCCAACCGCAGCCTGGATGCAAGCATTTATATCTTTGCTGAAATCAAGAAATGAATGACTGGACTTTCAGGTGTTTGTGTCTGAAACAAGTTTGGCCAGCTACTGTCAAAGATTTTGGAGTCTGGCCAGTTACTGTCAAAGATTTTGGAATAAGAAATCCAGGCAGCAAGATCAGAGCGTTTCCACCACGTTTTGCCTTACCTTGCACGTACACAGAACCTGTGGTGATCTCGTATCCCGTGCTACAGGTATAATCTCCACAGTCATCGGGCTCTACACCATGGATGATGAGCTCAGCGACGCTACCTTTCAGCTTCATCTCGTACTTGTCACTGGGCTGAATGACCACCCCTCCTTTTCTCCACTCGACGGGGGCGCCCGGCTTGGAGATCTCACAGTGCAGGACAGCTGTTCCCCCTTCTTCAGACTCCACATTCTTCAGCTCCTCGTTAAACAGCACAGGTAGGACTGCGGTGGAGAAGCAACTGCATCAGTGACAGTGTTCAGATGTGAGAATCTCGATTGCAACTTCTCTGACTTGATAGTTTCCATCTTTCTGAACCAGAACTTCCCTGCCCAGAGCAGGTGTTTGAGTTGTGCTGTAGCCAGATACTCATGGGCATCGGTTGCTGATACAGTGAGGGTGTCCATTGCTGCTCCACAAAGGATTGCCAGAGGTCACAGGACCTCTAAGGGACTTCACGTGTTCATACACACAATTTTAGGTTTAAGAAGTTAGAGACACCACAGCACCAATCAAGGCATTTGGACGTTTAGTCGCTGAAACCGCATACAGCTGAGTAGGAGCTGGTTACAGGGGCTAGAATTTAAACTTAGCATCTAAAGAGGGCTAGAATTTAAACTTAGCATCTGAAGGGGGCTAAAGTCAGCATCTAAAAGCATGATCTTGTTGCTTTAAAATTAATACAACTGTAAAATCAGTATATGAAAGCATAAAATTAATAAAACTGCAAAATACAAAAATGTAGCCAGTAGAAGAAGACCCATGAATCTTGGGCTACTCAGGTGCCGTTTAAAACGCCCTCGTTGTAGGTGTGGTGAAACACTCCAGTCTCTTCTTGTCAGGTAGCAGGCAAGGTTTTTACCTGCTCTTGTACATATCCCCCATTAGAAGCAGCTGCAGTTTTGCTCCTAGCTCTCCCAGTGAGATCAAAATTGCAACTCCAGGAGTAGAACAGGGTATGACAGACACCAAATTCTTGGAAGAACAAACCCTTTCCCACAGCTGCAATTCACAGATAAGAGCATCAACGGTAATTCAGTGACAAAACGTCCCCATAACCCCTGTAAAGAACATTCCTGGCCATGATTGCCTCCACCTTCAAGCAAGACATCTCCTACCTTTGACTTGCAACGATGCGGTGGTCTGCTGATCCCCCGAGTCGCACGTATAGTCACCAGCGTCCTGAGCCTCAGCATCATAAATGAAGAGCTCAACATGCGTCCCCTCTTGCCGGATCTCATACTTGTCGCTTGATTGCAGCACCGTATCTCCTTTCCTCCACTCCACAGGCGCATTGGGTTTCGTCAGCTCGCAGCGCAGCGTGGCTGTGCGACCTTCCTCCACCTCCACGTTTTTCAGCCAGTGTTTGAAAAGCACAGGCAGGGCTTGAGAGGTTCAAAGAGAAAAAAACGATGAAGCAAAACCAGAAAATGGAGGAATGTTTGATTTTTAAGGTACAGATAACGTCATTCCTGAAGTTCATGCACAATTCTGGCTGCACTAGGAGACCGTATGGATCTAGGTCTAAGCCAGGCAGAGAAGGAGGAGGGAGAGGAATTAACTAGCTGAAAATAAATTCAGTTCTACAGGAGCTGCGTTTCTCTCACCATATCCCACACTTCTTTTCATGAAGAATTCCCAACTAACTTAAATGATAATTTCAGAAACCCAGAGGTTTTTCATCCCCAAAATAAAACCACAGAATGGGATAAAAGCACTCAAAGAACACACACACCTGCAGACCCGGGGCTGCACCGTTTTAAGAGTTATTTGAGATCATGCAGCTAAGGATCAGCTACAGAATAAATAAGGTCCTCTTGCACTCTTGCAAGGATGGAGATTCTTCTGTCGCTCTGAGTTCCAGTTCCAATGTCTGACCACTCCTTATGTGTTCCTCCCCTGGCCACGTCCAATTTGAATTCCTTTTGCTGTGGCTTCCACATCATCTGTTTACTGAGCACCCCAAGGAAAGTCTGTCTCTCTGTAGAGCCTCATTAGGAAGCTGCAGACATCAAGGAGGTCCCCTCTCAACCTTCTCTTCCCCAGGATGAACAAAACCTTGTCCCTGCTTCTCACGCCCCTCGTGCTCAAGCCCCTGACAAACTTGGTGGCCTCTGCCGCACTTGCTCCACTACCTCAATGTCTGTCTTGGAATAGAGAGCTCCAAAAATGGATGGGCACACTTCTCACCACTGCTGACCAAAGAAGAAATCATACCTTTAACTTCGAGTCTGGCAGTGGTCTTCCCATCAGCCGTATGACAGCTATAATCCCCTGAGTCCGTGCGGTTCAAATCATGAATGATCAGCGTGTGCACGTTCCCCTCCTGCTTGATGCTGCACTTCTGGCTGGGCTGGATCACAGATTTGCCTTTCTTCCATTCCACCTGGACATCAGGCTTGGACACCTCACAGGACAGGTGAGCTGTGCCACCCTCCTGTAGCTCCAAGCTGTGGAGCATCTTTACAAAGGTGACCGGAGCAACTGTGGGGAAGAGGGTACCAACACTGCTGCAGCTGCCCAACACAGCATTGGCCCCAGTTCAGACCTGGGTGCCGCTGGCTACAGTTTGAACCAGGTTGTCCTGGTCTGAGCTTTGACACAGATCAAAGAGCAACAGACAAGTTAAGGTGTTGACATGGCCTATCTTTCAAAACGATTTTATATAACTTAATGGGAAGGCTTTTTCAGGCTTTTTTTTGGAGTAAATATGATCTGAAAAGATCATAAGTAGGAGATTAATTCAGAACAGATTATCAGCATTCTTCAGCATTGATTTGGAATTATTTTAGCTGCTCACTTCAGGATGAGTTGGATGGTCTTCAAAGGATGTTTGCACCACTCCATGGACTATAAAAAGGACTGAAATGACTAGCTCACATGCACAGATCTAACTCTTAAATGCCTAAATTAAGTTAGCAGAATCTCTCAAGATTTCCAAGGGCCTCTCCTCCCAAAATTACCTCTCCAGAAGCTAAAACACTGTTGTTAGTGCTTACTCGTACCTCCTCAACTCCTCTCCCTAGGAGGTTGCTCACCTTGGACCGTTAGCTGTGCTGCTGAGGTATGCTGCCCGACTTTGAAACTGATGGACCCACAGTCTTCTAGTGTCACCTTCCTCAGGATCAAAGTGTGACGCGTCCCTTGGACTCTGATCTCATTCATTTCATTGGATTGCAGGGGAACATCCCCCAGGAACCACTGGGCATCCTGAGCTGTTTCCCGGGACAGTCTGCATTCAAACACCGCGTCTTCTCCTTCATACGAAGTGACGTCCTTCAGTGTCTCCACTATGGTTGCTGCTGGTTCTTTATGGAAAGGTCAACAGAGATGGATTTCTACTTTCAAGTGACACTTCCTGGGTTAAACATTTCTTTATGCACTTTCTTGACAGTACTATATTATTTGAAAGAACCACCCCAAAACACAAGGTATTAAATGCATGGAAATGTGGTCACATGGGCAGGTAGGAACTTGTTAAATTCTTACAGGTGCATAATGTACGTACATGTGCTTCTATATTATGCACATATATATGATAGTCTATAAAGCATGCATGTTATACTGTTTTATGTGTATAATGATTATATAATACATATCTATAATCAATCTATGTATCATGAAGACCTTCACAGAATCATGGAATCATAGAATGTGTTGGTCTTGAAGGAACCTTTTAAGGTCATCTAGTCCAACTGCCCTGCAGTGAGCAGGGACATCTCTCACTAGATCAGGTTACTCAGAGCCCCATCAAGTCTGACCTTGAATGTTGTCAGTGGTGGAGCCTCCACCACTTCTCTGGACAACCTGTGCCGGTGTCTCACCACTCTCATACTAAAGAACGTTTTCCTGATATCTAGTTTAAATTTACCTTGCTCTAGTTTAAAATCATTGCCCCTCGTCCTGTCACAACACACCCTTGTAATCAGCCCCTCTCCAGCTTTCCTGTAGCCCCTTCAGGTACTGGCAGGCTGCTACAAGGTGTCCCTGGGGCCTTCTCTTCTCCACGCCAAGCAGCCCCAACTCTCTCAACCTGTGCTCATAGAAGAGGTGCTCCAGCCCTTTGATTATTTTTGTGGCCTCCTTTGGACCTGCTCAAACAGGCCCATGTCCTTCTTGTGTTGAGGGCTCCAGAGCTGCGCACAGCACTCCAGGTGAGGTCTCAGCAGAGCAGAGCAGAGGGGCAGAATCCCCTCTCTCCATCTGCTGGCCACACTTCTTGGGATGCAGCCCAGAATGAGATTGGCAACAGATTTTAGTGTGTGACATTAGCATTAAACAACAGAGTCATGAGCTAAAGATCCATTTCCGATTCCCTAAAGATAACTGAGCCAGTTCTTATACCTCTGAAAAAACTCTCATCTTTGAGATCTCCTATGACTTGGTTTAGGGACAGGACAATGTCTAGCTGTCAAATTACTCAACCCCGTGGAGTCACCATCTCTGGAAGTGTTCATAAAAGTGTAGATGTGAGACTTCAGGACATCACAGAATCACAGAATCATTACGGTGGGAAAGGACCTCCAGGGTCATCAAGTCCAAC